CTCTCTCTCTCTCTCTCTCTCTCTCTCTCTCTCTCTCTCTCTCTCTCTCTCTCTCTCTCTCTCTCTCTCTCCCCTTCCTTTCTATTTAGCTTTTAAAACCTTACATCTACCCTTAGGGCTGCCCACCCCGTCGACAATCCAGGGGATATCCATTGGGAAGAGTCAATGGCGGGAGACGAAAGAACTTGGAGAGATCAGCAACGACAGAGGGGGAGCGAGAGAGAGAGAGAGAGAGAGAAGCACATGCACACAAACACTCAAAGACACACGTGTTCGTGGAGTTGCGTTCGCAATCTTTGTTCTTGACACACACAACGCCATAAAATCATCAGCGAAGCCGCCAAGCTTTCTTCCCACGTATCGCAGAGAATTGTTCCCCCCTTGCAGAGAGCAGAGCTGCAGCAGCCTGTCGCTGACTAGATGATCTGACAATGGACGAAATCCGATCTCGCAGGGCCGAGCTGCACCCATCTCTATTCATAGTCCGCGCGACATATCTCGCCATCTCTAGCTTCAACGCTGACCCTTCCTCTCCATCTTCTTCCTCCTCCTCCTCCTTCTCCTTCTCCCATTCTCATTGTCATACTGAGCAAACCTTTGAACCCCGCCGCCATAGCCAAAGCTCGCACCACTCCCTCCGGAAGCGCCCCTAACAGTCGCTCTCTCCAGTGGTCTGAGCCGTCTTGTTCCCAATACAACGACGAGAAAGACGACAAGCAAGAAGAAGAAGAAGGAGGAAGAGGAAGACGAGGAAAAGGAGAAAAAGGACGAGGAGGAGGTGGACAAGACTGCAGCGAAGTCTTTTGAAGGCATCCTAAGCGTTCAAAATGCGACATGGGATCCCGATACCACGTCAGCAAGACTGATCTACTCCCTGTCGCGATCTTCATCACCTTGTCCCGATCCTCTGCGAGTCCCATTCTCAAGTCGCCGCAGATAAGACAGACCACAAAGCGACAAAAGAAGCTCCATTTCGGAGAAGGTAATCGGGAGCAGCAGCATCGCTGCCGCCATAGCCGACCTCGAGTTCTTGGAAAAGGATCGTCCCATCATGTCAACGTCATCGATCAGCACTTTGACAGGCTTCTGCAGCCTTCCGCTCGCGTACAACGATTCCCACTCTTCCAGATCCCTTCGCTATCGCTGCGCACTAATTACCCCGAACTCGATGAGACCGCCACGTGGCAAAGGCACGAGGGTGTCGAAATGCACACCCACACCAACTTTATCCGCTATGGCGGCACCAACGGAGCCACCCCCCAACCTGCTCACAAACCCAGAGTAACGGTCACGATTCACTCAAGATTTTCGGGATCCAAAAAAAAAAAAAAAAAAAAAAAAAAAAGATTTTCGGGATGCCAAGCTTCGGGACAATCAACGGCCAAGATGTAATCTATCATTAGGTTCTCATCCGGTTGATCATGCTTGCCCGCCGCGTCATACCATCCACATTCTTCTGGCGGCTTGCCCGCCTAGAGCTCGGCGTTGGCATGGAGATCGACCTCATCAATCCTCCAACATCTGCTTCTCCGCCCCCTCTCCTCTTCCTCCTTCTCCTCCTCCTTCTCCTCCTTCTCCTCCTTCTCCTCCTCCTCCTCCTCCTCCCAATCCTCTTCCTCCCTGCAGACGCTGAGAGAAGACTGCGGAACCATAAGCGACGGCGAAATCAACGGGCGGTAGATCTGCTAATGGCTCCGCCAAGGCTGTCGCAAGCCTCTGCTGCTCTGCCATCTCTTCTTCGTCCTCCTCCCCTCCCTTCTCCTTCTCCCTTCGCGCCATAGCTCCGTGATACATCCCTGCTTCCCTTGTCTTTACCGATAGCGTTTTCAACGTCGTTTCCAATAGAGCCCTTACCTACTCTAACGCGAGGAATTTACTTTCGACCTCCACGAAGGGTCTCTTTCGAAACGAACGAGGCCATTTGTCGCAACGATAAATATATTTCACTCCCCGTCGTTGTCTCCATCTAACTTTTCTCTCCATTTTATTTTTTTTTATTTTTTTTTTTTAACGGAAAGAAAAGGAAGAATCTAACTGCCAAGTAAACCTTCTTTCTCCATTTCGCCCCCGACATCCGTGAAATTTGGAACGATACAGAGAAGATTAACATGGCCCCTACAACGGGGGAAAAAAAAAGAAAAAAAAAAAAAAAAGATTAATGGTCCAATTTACATATCGTTTCCTTCTGTTAGTTAATTACCAATCAGTTGCATGTCTGTCCCATTCAGCAGCAGACACGTGGCAGCCAGTTAGCTGGCGATCTGGTTTTGGCATTTCCTCCTGCTACCACTGCCTGACGACCTGAGCAGCTACCTGATTCCTCCGAATACAACACCCAGTCATTATAGCTGTATTCAGTGCAATTTTCCAGTCCAGATACAGACATAATGACCGGGCATTGTGCTCGGGGAAAAAAGTTAATGCTGTAATTGCAGGCAGACAGGTCAGCGCTCTGACACACTTCACTGATAAGAACCAAAGAGCTGAGCAGCGATCCCGGCCACTAATGGCGGCCGCACACGTGCCTTGTCGCGACCGGGCGGGCGCATAGCGTCGCACATGTTGCTGTATCCCGGCGGCGCGTTCATCCCCCCCTTGCTGGAACTCCAATTACAGGCATGCCTACTACCACTGGATGTATGTGGCCTGGAAACCTGGCCTCAGTACGTTCATACAAGCATGACACGACAACTGCATGTAAGTGACTGGAAACCTGACCTCCATACGTTCGTTACTGATGTCTATATTTCTATATTTGTTACATGCGGACCGGAGGGGGGGAAAGGGAGGGGAAAAGCGGGAAAGAGGGGAAAGGGGAAGGAAAGGATCGCGGAGGGGGGAAGGGGGCCGAAAGGGGGGGAGGGGAAAGAAACAGAGGGTGGCCAAGCAGATTGGGTGGTTTGCTCTGCGCAGGTTTTGGCAAGCAAGCGACAGGGGCCATTCCACACTTGACACGTTTCATGCTGGGAGAAGACGAAGAGACTCTACAGAAGTGTCATCACTCATTTACTGTCACTTCCGAGGGCATGCTCACACTCGGACTTTTCCCACTGAGCTCTGGACCTGATTGCGGTCAGATGCATACAAGTCAGGCTGACATTCCGACACGTGTCAGGCTGGGAGATGAAGAAGAGATTCTAGAGAACTACCATCACTCATTATTACTTCTGAGGGCGTGCTCACACTGGGACTTTTTTCCACTGAGCTCTGGACGTTATTGCGGTTAGAAACATACAGGTCAGGCTGAAATTCCAGTCAGATGCATCCAGGAAAGTCCTCGTGCGAGTATTAGACCCTGAGAGGCCGCGCAGACGTGCATACATATATGAACCCATCGCCATCTCCCTACCTGGTTGCACCCGATACGCCGGGATCTGATCTCTGGCTACTCGTGGAGTCGGCCCCTCAGCTGGACCAGGGCCGGCAGGACTGGAACAGGACGAGGACCAGCACCAACCATGTGTGGGCCTCCAACTTGATTTTTTGGCGCTGGAAGAATCTGAAAATTGGAGTGCTGGCATATTCTGTTGAGATCTTTCCAGGAAAAATGTTAATAAATAGGGAAAAATTTTGAAATGCCCCTGAAGTTTGCGTTTATTTGCAGCGTGCCCCTCTGACGGCTGACTTACCTTGTCGCGCCCCTCTGACGACGAATGATGTTTCCAGAAAAACCCCGGTGTCGTTTGGGCTCGAAAATGTTTCATACGCCCTTACCGGTACCAGTAACAAATTTTCAGTATGCCCCTACCGGATGGCCGTTGAGAACCAGCACAAAAGTTTCTCGTATGCCCTTATTGGTACCGTCCATCTTTCCAGCGAGCCCCTGTGGCCGTTGTTGACACTCGCAGTCTTTCCCCTGGCCCCGGGAGAGATGCTACCAGGGCATATCAGAAATTTGGCGATGAGCATGGACACACACACACACACGTGCGCACACACACACACACACACACACACACACACACACACACACACACACACACACAACACACATATACACACACA